ATATATATATATATATATATATATATACATATATAAAACAGTCTGGGTAAACAATATATGAACAAAGCATGTAAATAGAATATAGAGTATTTTCCAAATGAAATATATATTTGTCATTTCCGTTATTTCCCAAATAAGGCAATATATTGCTGTCACTTATTCCGCGTTCAATTTCACCAAACTAAAGCCAAGGTATTTCTACAAACTGTCTGTTGTTTTGATGTCACCTAAAGTCTTCCTTAGAATTCAGCAAACTGCTGGCAAGTTGTCATCATGCGTACATGGCGTGCCATCAGTTTGCTGTCAACGTGACGAGTTTATTATTTTTCAATGTATACTCTTACAATTTCGTAAACTTATGAAATCTATTTACCCTCCTGATGCTAACTCAGTTCACATTAGATTCCAAGTAATGCCAGCAAATTATCAAGTTAAAAACAATACATGCAGTAAATTGTTCCATATACTAAATCTCGCTTGGCTATCTTGTAAGACTGAAATCCAAAATCATGATATAAAAAATATTAAAAAACAAATTTAACTTTTAATTTTTCAATTATTTTTTTTATTAACTTAACTTTTAGTTCAATTAATTTCATTATAAGTTAACTTGTATCTTAACTAAGTTAAATTTTCAAGTTAAAGTTTACTTATCTTAGTTAAAAAAAAATTAACTTATCCAACTTTGATATACGTAAGATGTGCTTCCATTTTAAATAAAGATAAAAAGTCTGTTATGCATGAATATGTATATAAAAACATATATAACATGTATGTATTAAACATATATATAAACACGCATAAATATTTATAAATATGTATAATTACTTCGGCAAATACATCTAGGATTTATGTCAGAAGTCAGAAAAAATAAAAGGAAAATAATAATTTTCTCGCAACTGCTCTATTATATGTCTTCATATTATATTAGTATAATATATTAGTTTATAGTTTATGTATCTCATCCCTATGGGATATATGGCAAAAATGCAAAGGTTTAAAAAAGTTTATTTTTTAATACGAAATATAAATATTTCAGATTTCTAATATTTTGTTCATAATAGTTGACAATGTAAAGTTTTTATTGGTAGTTTATTGACAGTTCGTTTACTTTAAACATAGTAAATAATACTTAATAAATTAAGTTTTTGATAGGTGCGGCGTATATAGGAGTTACCCTATATACGCCGCACCTATAAAATATGTCCATGTTCATACATCCTTTTTTCTTTCATAAAATTATTTTTTAGTGTAATAGAAATAATAATGGTAATGTGAAAACATTAAAAAATAATTGAAAAGATAATTTTCGCACTATTTGTTTTGGAAAAAAATCAAGTTTGAAGAAATGTAAAAAAATTATTTATGTATAATTATATACAAAATTATGCATAATTGTATATGAGCAATTTTTTTTACATTTTTCAAACTTGTTTTTTCTAAACAAACAATGCGAAAATGATCCTTTTAATCACTTTTTATATTTTTACATTTGCTATTATTATTTCTATTACACTAAAAAGTAATTTTACAAAAGAAAAAAGGATATATGTATGTACATATTTCATGTATGGAAATACATTATATATGTTTATGAATGTTTATACGTGTTTATGTATATTTATACATATTCATGCAAAAAAAAATTTTTATCGGGAAAGTGACTCTACATGATCAATAATAAATCAGTAATATTGACTCAGTAATACTGACAGTACGCATCAATATTTTTAGTATTTTTACAAACTTAGTTTAAATAATCAGTATTATCGATAATATATTTCACTTTTATAATTTTACAATATCTATGTAACACACTGTGGCACTAAATCCTAATACAATTACGTTACATGGATCACCGTCAGTATTCTAAAGATCAATCCATCAATATTAATTGTATAAAACCAATAATACTGTTGATATTTATACTGACAGGAAACACACAATTGTATCTCGAGCTAACAGTTAACTATACACAAGACCAATAATATTGTCAGCATTTGTTTATATCGGGAGCTTACCACAAACAATACTGTGTAACATGTGATGATCACACAATGATCATTTCATCTTTGTTTAACATTAACGAACAACAAGGACGTAATAATTCACTATATTATCTGATGTGGGTAGATTAAATCAACGCGATGCTGCAAACGCTTTGAAGCATTTTTTAATTGATCAGTTTGTAAAATTTTTTTCTTCTAATTGATCCATCAAACGCTTCAAATCATTTGTAGCGCGAGACTTTGACCATCCTGATGAAAATTTTTCTCAGAATTTTTCATATAATTTTTTAGAATTTCTATGTAATTTTTCAGAATTTCTCTATAATTTTGTAACTTTCTCAATTTTTTTATACGAATTGGAAGATTTCTCAGAAAATCTACATCTTTTCTCAAAATTTTTCGTATATGTTAATTATGAAATATCGTAAGATTTTTAAGATTTTTTGTAAGTATAGTTTCTGAAATGTTACAAAATCTAAAAAATTTTAAAATACTTTTTAAAAATTTATGGGATGAGAAATTTCAGAATATTTCAGAATTCACTTGTATGAGAAGTTCTGAGAGAAGATGTAAACTTTCCGAATATTTCTGAGTATTTCTGAAAAATGTTCCAATTCATATAAAAATTATGAGAAAAATTTTCACTAGCTTTTGTCTCTTATTGGAACTCACTGACAATATTATTGACCGAGTCACTTTAAGGACAGCAAAGATTTAATTAAAATTGCATGAGGAGGCATGAGTTCTAATCCGATTCCGTCAGCGACGAGAACCTTTGTCCTCTCCCACCATCGAAGTGATCGAAGTCCGAGTTCGGCAGCCGGTGGCGGCGCCGGCTGTACAATTGTTATATGTTATACGTCGTGCGTGAGCGGCTGAGTGCCGCATTTGCTCGCGACTTTCGCGAGAGCCAGGTCGTATACGGAGGTCTTCGTCAACACCGTGGAAACCACGTGAGGCGCAGAGGCCGAGTTCCAGGAAGTGAGTGAGCGAATGAGCTGCTGATCGGCCGACTTAACGAAACGAAGGTGCGACGTGCGGGCTTCGAAGCACGCAATTGAAAGCGACGACCGGGATTTTCACCGAGCCGAGCGGAGTTTCACTTCTAACCTGAATTCGGTGAAGCGAGCGAGCTGTACGTATACGTGTGTGCGTGCGTGCGTGCGTGCGTGCGTGTGTGTGTGCGTGCGTGGTGCGTGCGTGGTGCGTGCGTGCGCGCGCGCGCGCGCGCGTGTGTGTGTGTGTGTGTGTGTGTGTGTGTTGCTTCGACTCATAATGACATGTCTTTATTATTATCAGCGAACGCTAGAGGATTTTTATTTGTATGATTACTCCAGACATCGTGAAAGCACGTGGAGCTACACGGTTGCTATATTGTGGTAAGTTTAATAGGGTCAAGAATACTTCCGTATCATGCGAAAGAGAATAACACAGTGATTAATCAGAATCAATCAATCAACAGACTCGAGCATTGACAAGCTGACTATATAGATCCCAAGAGAGGAGTATCATTTCCAAAAACATCGCACAACTCGACCAAGATGTGGCCGAAGGACGTTGGCATCCGGGCTTTAGAGGTCTACTTTCCGGCGCAGTACGTGGAGCAGACGGAACTGGAGGCGTACGACGGCGTGTCGGCGGGCAAGTACACGATCGGCCTGGGTCAATCGCGAATGGGTTTCTGTAACGATCGTGAGGACATCAACTCGTTATGCCTCACTGTTATTTCTCGGCTGCTGGAACGTTACGAAGTCAAGCCGCAGGACATCGGCCGATTGGAAGTAGGCACCGAGACCATCATCGACAAGAGCAAGTCAGTGAAAACTGTGCTGATGCAACTCTTCGAGCCGCACGGTTGCACCGACATCGAGGGTGCGGACACCACCAATGCCTGCTACGGCGGCACCGCCGCGCTCTTCAATGCCATCGCGTGGGTGGAGAGCAGCGCCTGGGACGGTAGATTCGCCCTGGTCGTTGCAGCTGACAATGCGGTATATTCCACAGGTAGCGCCAGGCCTACGGGTGGTGCGGGCGCGATAGCCATCCTGGTAGGTCCGGATGCACCACTCGTGTTCGACCGTGGTCTCCGAGCATCCTGTATGAGGCACGCTTACGACTTTTACAAGCCGAACATGCGCTCCGAGTTTCCCATGGTGGACGGCAAGCTGTCGATCCAGTGCTACCTCAGCGCTCTGGACAACTGTTACCAGTTGTACCGCGAAAAAGTCAAGAGAAAGAACCCTGATGAGAACCCCGTCACTTTGACCAACTTCAACGCGATGCTCTTTCATTCGCCATACTGTAAACTCGTACGGAAATCATTCGCCAGGCTGGCCTTTATCGATTTCCTGAACACGCCGGAGAATCAGATTCCCGACAGTTACAAGGACGCAGTGAAATTCCACGCTGCCAAGCTTGAGGACACTTATTTCAATCAGAACATCGAGAAGATATTCATGCAATTGAGCAAGGCGGACTTTGAGCAAAAGACTCAGCCCAGCTTACTGATAGCAAATCAAGTTGGAAATATGTACACACCATCGGTGTACTCCGGTTTAGTGTCATTACTTGTATCAAAACCGATAAGTGAATTGGCAGGCAACAAGGTTGGTATATTTTCTTACGGCTCGGGCCTCTGCTCCAGCCTATATTCATTGACGATAACAAGGGACACGCATGAAGGTTCTGGCTTGTCAAAAATTATCAGCGCTCTTTCCTACGTCAAGTCTCAATTAGAAGGACGTCACTGTGTTTCCCCAAAGGATTACACCGAAATTCTGGCGTCAAGAGAACGAAATTGTCATGTCGTGCCATTCACTCCGCAGAGTAATATAGACGACATGTTTCCGGGCACATATTACTTAACGCAGGTGGATGAGCAGTACAGGAGGACTTACAAGAAAGTATGAGATCAATGTGTTAGATTTCAAGGTTTAGGATTGTTTATAGTTAATTTTATTCTACAAAGATATATATATGTAAAATAAAAGGTTCGAGGTTTTGCTTGATTACAAATTTTTGTTTACACACACACACACACACACACACACACACACACACACACACACACACACACATACACAAATTTATATAGTTACATTAGTAACACATACTTATTGATATTATGATTATTTATCGTTGAATGAAGTGTCTTCCTATCAAGAAATCAAATCTTTTTTGATCATTTTTTTTATCTCGATATACATTAATATATTGTTTTTTATCGCAGTAATATTTATCACAAATTTATTCTTTAATATAATTTTAAAATCATAAAAATAATAATAGCAATTTATAATCATATAATTCTTTAAGAAATATAATTAACAAAGAATTTTTATATATGTATATTAAATCACGCATAGCAAGTATCAAGTATAAGAATCTCAGGCACTTTGTGATTTTAACAGAAAATATTTTGATAGAAAGGATATTTAGATCGAAACTATTATAGCTTCTTTGTTGATTTGTAAAATAAAATGTTATATAACTATTTTGCAACATTCTCTCCTTACATTGTCAATTAAAAATGTTTTCAAAGATGTCTACAATTCGCCGAAATTTAACTATTATCATTCGTAGCTTTATATTTACATAATAACAACGATATTAGATCTGTTCGCGTTGCTGATATTTTTTGCATTCAGAATCTTCGCCTTTTCTTTCTTCAATATGTACATCTAATTTTAAATGCAAAAATTATATTATATAATTATATTATATTTTTAGAATTTCAAGCCACGTGAGCAGATACTACTTATAATGTAAAACCATTATAAAGTTATAACATTATAGTGCCTTTACATAAGATTGTTTTTATACAAGAATAAAAATAAAATGTTTATACATTTATGCTAATATTAATAGTTGTCCAAACTTTCAATACGCGATGAATGAATTAACGTACAAGCAACAAAACATTTGTGATATTTAAGATTTAATTTCAAATTAATCTTTGTGAATTTATAGTCAATTTTAAACGTCGGTAATATATCTGAATTATGTTATCAACTAAAATTGTCTTCTCTACCTCGCTTCATTTTGTTTAATATAGTTATTAAATTTACAATATTATTTTGATGCAATAAAAAGGAATGAATATTAATTAGCATTTTATGATTTTAATATTAATGCGTGTATACATTATTCATATACACTTACAGCATGCTAATTCACATTGAAATTAACAATTGTCTGAATAAATTTCGTATATACAATTTCATATAAATTGAATAATAATTGACATGAATAAATATTTATATAATTAAATTGATTTTGTTGCAAAAAACTTCTCATTAAAAGATAATTAGTTTTTATATATTGTCTCTATAAACATATTTTAACAATTATCGAACACAATTTATAATACAGAGTGAGTTATCTTTGGAATCAATATACATTTATGCAAAGCTAAAGCAATTACTTCTTGTATCTCAAATATATCAAATATAATACATAAACTTCTGTTAACTAAAATCAATATACTAAACATCATGTATTTTAAAGAAAAATATTTTTTTAATTGTCTCTACATATACATATAGTATAATAAATATTTTCAATTACTTCTCGTATGGTACAATTGCTCGCAAAATTAATCAAGTATTTAAAAAAATTTCATAAGTTTTTATACAACGAAAAGAAGACGAAATATCAAATTTTATTCTCAATAGACTATAAGTAAAATCTATTTTATAACAAGCTTCTAACACAATTTTGTGTACGCAATTTTGAAACACTTGATCAGTCTTGCGAGACAGTATTTTGTGTATTATTTCGGCGCACAATTGTAATATTTTAAACTTATAAAATTATGTTTCGTACAATATTCTTTTTTTGCACACAGTTCAGACAATTTCATATCTAATTATATTTATTAACAAGAAATTTATTAAAAACGGATATGTACATTCTTTTGTCTTGTCTAATAAAATTTTTTATTCACTTTGATTCGCTTGGAATATTGTCTTCTTCGTTTATTTATGTTAAAATATATATCTATATTTTTTTCAAAAATTATACTCTAGTAATCTAAATTCGCGAAAGAACACTTAACTTGGATATATTCTCTAAGGTTTTACGTATCTATGTGAGGTTTTAGTATTTTATCTTATCAAAAACATAATTTGCATTCGCAATGAGTATTTCGAGAGAATACACGCAACATAAGTATCAAAAAAATATATTACGATTTATTACGTAAGCAGTAATAGAGATTCATTATATCTGTTCACAAATAACAATAGCGTTTGTTTAAACAAAACGCATTCTACATACTTGCTCGCATTCCCATTGCCCTTCAACGTCGAATGCGAATCTGAATTATTATATAAATTATGTTTGAATTAAGTTCGAATTATTTAATAATTATTGAATTATTCAATTTAATAAAGATCGCAAGTATTAGACGATCGTTTTTAGTGCAAAATGCACAATGAGAATGCGATTGTGAATTAGTATTTACAGCTTCTAATTGGTGCTCGGCGATTGGGAGGTCAAACTTCACATTCGCCGTAACAATGTTCGCACGTGCAAATAAATAAAATAAATAAAAAAAAAACACATTAAGTTACCACTCGCAATTTAAATCTCCTGCAAATATAATATCTGTGCGTACGAAAATATGAATTTTAAGGCACTAGATACTCTAAGATCTTTTCAGGTCGCAATATTGTAAAGTGTCAATATGTGTGCGCAAGTGTATATTTGTGTGTATTTTTGTTAAATCGCATATAAAAATATACAAATGTATTCTTCTTGGCCAGTTTTTGGAGTAGAAATGATCTATATTTTACTCTAAAAATTAGATCTTTATTGCGAGATTCATGTCTCCCGAGATAAGATATATAATAGCTACTGTTCCAATCCGCGCGAATAGAAAAATAATATCTTGAATTTGGCACCTGAATATCTTTCTATTGTATGGATAGAATTACGTTGGACACGTGTAGTCTACTTTGTATCGGGCTACAATAAGAGATAAAAGATAAAAGGCAGTAAAATTTTTGTAAAAAGATAAGATTCATACGATGTTTTAGGGAAATCTTTCGATATTTTTGGTATATAATACTGAGGCACATAATTTCTAATTTTTCAATTATTATTTCAAGAATAGTAACATTAAAATGTATGTGCAGACGAAATTGTACGATATCATAATCGTCGACTGCCTTTTATCTTATCTATCACTGGACACTCAGCTTATGAAAATTTCACCCAGCGCATCGAATGATATGTTAAAAAATTTAGAATATTTTGTAAGAACAACCTGAACAAGAAGATAAATTTCGACCGACACCGAGTTTCACCACTTCTTCCTCACTCGCGCTAATTTGGCGATTATCATGTCGTCTCTAAAAACAAATAATGCGTTTATTTTTTAAAATTATTTAAGTACTTTATGCGCGATGTAGAAAAATGGGTTTACCTTAAGTTCCGATGCCAGATAAAAAAAGATAGAATCTATATTTGTATTATCTTTGGCTGAGGTCTCCACTACGTGCAAAACTTCCGGCAGGTATTGGCATAAGGCTTCAGCTTCTATTTTTTTCACCTCGCGTAAATCCTCCAAATCACATTTATTACCTGCAAAGCAAAAAATGCATAGAAATTAAGTCATTTTACAATGTAATCATTACAGCATAATAATTATTACAATACACATAAAATGATCATACCAACTAATACCAGTAGCACATGCGACGACGAATATCTCCGGACTTCTTCCACCCAACGTTGTAAACTTAAAAACGTCGATCGCTTCGTAATATCGTAAACTAAAATAATCGAGTATTGCTTATTAGAATAATGCCATAGTAATATAATTTTTTCAGATAATAAAAATAATACAACAAAAAACAATTCTATTGCCCTAACAGAAAACTAGTATAATTCCCATTAATTTTTTTATTAAACTAATTTTTAAATTATTCTTTAAAATTAATAGTACACTATATGTTAATAAAAAAAAACAATTGCATAATAATATGAAATATAAAGATTCACACAATTAGTTACATACCTACGATTACTCCATTTGCAGATCTATAGTAACTCTGTGTTATTGTTCGAAATCTTTCCTGTCCTGCAGTATCCCATATTTGTAACTGTCAATAACAGAATAAGAGTTCCAGTAATTATTATGATTTTAAGTATTAATAATCACTATCTATATTAATAATTATAATCTATGAATTCAAACAGATTACAGTATTATTTTAGATTATATCAAAATCTATCAGATTTTATCTCAAGGATTATCTTCAATAAGATATTTTACATAGAAATTTATAATTTAAGCATACAAATTTTCGTTAGAAAAAACCTCAATTTCAAATTGAACTATATAATCCAAACACAGACGACACAGCAGTCTATTTATACATCTATTTATACGTCTTACATAATTTTTTATTAATTACAAATTTTTTTTCTATCTTTTAACTCTATTCTTTTTCATGTTTTCTCTCCTTTTTCTGTTGAAATCGGAATGATGATGTACATTTATTTATTTATTATTATGTTAGTTCATTTTATCAAGTCTGCATTTTTATAACTGAACTACATAGTATACATTTAAAGTAAAATAGATATATTTTTGAAATTTGGCAAGAGAGATAAAGAAAATTCTAGTCCAATCCAGCAATAATAAAAAACAAACTTATATAGTAAACATTCTAGTAATAGAAAAAAAAAACATAAACACAGAATACTGCGGAGTACTGATAATCACAGATTTCTGACAAGAAATTCTATAGAAGTGTGTTGATAACGCAATCGGAGCATAGGTTAAGCTTCAAGCTTGACGCGAATGCATGTGGAATGCGGCGCACCTTCACCCTCTTGCCGTCTATGAGCACAGTCTTCATGGTGAAGTCGACGCCGATGGTGTTGCCGTGGCGCTCAACAAATGTTCCGGACCTGAAGCGCTGTACCACGCAAGTCTTGCCTGTGCCACAGTCGCCGATTAGGACGATTTTGAACAGGTAGTCGAAACTCTCGTCATCGCTCGTGTTCATCATGAGGTTGTCGGGATTACGGCACGACATTCTCAGGACGAGGATTCACGCGAAGGCGACGGCGACGATGACGGTCGCGAGGACTTTGCGCTTGGCGGACAACTACCTACGCCATCGCCGTGTCCACGAGCCTCCCCAAGTCTCTCTTCATCCAATTGCGTCCATTTTGGTCCATCTTACCATCCCGCTGCCTGCGATCCGTATCAGTGACGAATCGTGAAACTGCTGCTAATCCCCCCTTCCTTTCTGTCTTCCTGCTTTTCTTTTCGATTCCTTTTCTTCGATTGCGTTTATCATGAATCTTCTTTTCTTATTGTTGAATAAATCTTATTTGAGATTTGAAACAAAGCGCGAGAGAACAAGCGAAAATAAATGTATGAAAGATATTGAATTTAAAAAAAAAAGAGAAGAAATGAGAATATAACAAATCATATATTGTAAGAAGTAAAATATTTAAGATAAAACATTAAAATAAGTAGAGACAAAGGGAAGTAAAAAATACAAGAATTACCTTAATGACTATAAAGTCTGATAAAATATCTGGGAGATAAAAATTCTGGTTCTAATTTAATACAGTTTTAGTTTTATTCGTAACAGGGAACATTTTCTTTTTACATAATAAAACAAAAATGAAGTTATCATTATGAGTCTAATATATTCCATTTTGTTTGAATGCTTGGAAATTAATCAGTAAAAATACGCGTCAGCACATAATTTTATTAACAATTCTTACGAACTACATTGTTATGAGAATCGCAGACAATCTTATAGCATCTTAATATTAATTCCTAGAATTACTTTCCGGATGTGAACTTTGATAAACCCTCCAATAAACTGACGTAGGCTGTATGCTCATAGCTTGTGCTCAACTCAATCAGTTTCTCTGCAAATTCATTTGAGATACCTTTCTCTTCGAGGTAGTTCATCAGTAGATCATACAGATACTGCAAAATAAATAAATAGTATTTAATTTAAGCTGATTTCTAATATATAATAAAAAAATAACAATCTAATTTATCTAGAATGTATTTTATATCTTAGTTACAGAAATAATCAGATCTGGAAAAGAGAGAATTAAGAAAATATATCAACGAAAGAGTTAGAGAATAAAACATGTCACATTCTTATTTCGATGAACACATGATAAAAGATCACGAGTTAATTTTATAAGAACGTTAATGATTTTCCAAAGATCAATAATCAAAACAGCCTTGATATAAGCTGTTTTGTACTCAACACTTTGGAGATATATTTAATCTTTATGCATCAAATTGATATGTATTATAACTTCTTCAATTTTTGACTCAAACTTTGAAGTATATATTAAAGCAATAGTCTATAAAGCAGAGAGATAAATTTAAAATCCAAATATTTTTTTTATTTTGGACTTTTAATATTTATACTATATGTCAAAATAACTGTAATATATTTAATTATTAACTATAATATATTTAATTGTACTAATTTTTACATAAAATAATTACAGAGATATAGAGACAGGATAATAATTCCTTGCCTCTTTGAAAATCATATTTACCCCATCGATGATTTCACCAGCTACGGAGTACACCTTTTCATTGTGGTTGCCTTCATACAGTGTGATTTCATCGATACCAAATATGTCATCTGCAAAAAAAAATTAATAATACAAATTAAAAATTAAAATTTGAAAAATGAATAATATAAACAATCTAACAAATCGTTTATTTATTGCAAATGTTAACTATAATTATCATCTGCTTACTATAATTATCATCAGAACCTGATGCACCAGCTTGATTGTTGAAAGAACATGAAAAACCTAGAGTTTGATTGCCTCTCACTATATCTACTGTAAAGTTTGGTTTGCTCTTCATTTCGCCAATGTCTACACTGTTGCTATTAGTATTCATTTCTGTTTCAGAATCTGCATCTACTGTATGGTTCACATTAAATGAAATATAGATACTGAAAAAGAATATTGTAAATCAGATAAATCAACACTTTAAATCCATATATTAATATAACAAAATTTTCTTACGTATCAGTGCCATCTTTCTTTTCAAGATTAACTTCGGCACCATTAAGGGATACTGAAAAGCCATCTAATGTTGTTGGTATCATTTTTAATTTTTGTGCCTTCTTTTCAGCTACTATCTCCTCAGCCAAAAATTCCACTAATTCCTTCTCCGCTGATAAAAAAAAATATAATTAGTAAAATAAACAAATAAAATTATATAAAATTACATATTTCTATATACAAAACAAAAAATTTTGCTTTTTGGTATAATTTTAGATTGTCATACTTAAAAAAGATTAAATTGTACAGTGTACAAAATTAAATAGAATTTTAAAAACGATATATGAAATCTGTGTACTCAGAAAAAACTAATTAATATTTACAAATTATAAGACTTCATATCTGTTCTTTATAGCACTGTATATTATATTCTTTGAACAGGTAAATATGTTAGAGAAAAAGGAAGATGAAAAGTATGAAGTTTACCTACAAAGCATATCTAATAAATTTTTCAAATGCATCAGCCTACAGTCATCAGACTTGAGAAAACTTAAAGAAAACTTAACTGCTATTTAATAAAAGAGAAAAAAAGAGTATACTTCAAGTCACAATTAGTACTTAAAACATTTCTGTTTCCGAATTGAACATCTCTTTTCATAAACATGGAAATCAATAAAAGCGCAAGCGAGCCCTGTCACGGAAACGACCAACGCATGTCTACTCGACAGACAAGACACTCGTCAATGAATCGATACCTTTAGTGCTGTAACATCTTTGAGCGCGGAGATCATGCAGTTCAGGCATGGAAATGAGAGGCGTGATCTCGGCGATCTGCCGGTGACTACACATGTTCCACAGAGCCCTGATAGGTTGGCCGCTGTTGTTGCTACCGCACGAAGACGATAGCACACCGCGAAGTGCCGTGGCGCGAAACGCGCTTCTTACGATGCCATTCATGTTGGAGGAAAGTTGATGGCAGAAAACTACGAGATAAATACAACGTGATGAATACGGAATACGGCAAGTACGGCGCGAGGGAAATGATTGCGTCACGGCGATTTCTTGTGCCGGGTTTCCGGTGCGCAGACGAAGAGCAACAGAGTACAGAGATAACTTCCGGCGACGCACATGTTTATATTAGGCTGCATTTTCATGCCGACCCTCGACGCTCGATTCGAGCGTCACAGATCTCGTGAAAATTGACGAATACCAAGCATCAATTTTGATTACGTGACCTGTTTTAACGATGAAAATGAGCATCGAGCGTTAGCATGAAAAAGCAAAAGTCACTAGATTTACAAAGTATCGTGAATTGCCGCCATTTTGGCTCCATAATGCGTGATTATTCAAAACTTCAGTCACTTTCGCTGCGGTTTTTCAACGCAGCAATCGGTATTTTCGATAATAAGGGGTTCCGCACAATAAAAGGAATAGGGAACAGAGAACAAGAATTTCAACCTAAATTGAAACTGAGTATTCCACAATGATTTCTGATAGGTTGAAATTCTTATTCTCTATTCTTTGTTCCTTTTTGTGCGGAGTTCCTAATAAGGTTCTTCTTCTTCTTCTAGACTCCTATATAGATTTCTGATCTTTTAATAAAATTAGATTAGAATAGTTCGACACCATTTTGACTCCAAATGCTAAGTGAATTTTCAATGAATTTTCTCCTACTTTGTTAATCTAATGATTTTATATTAAGGTATTATTACATAGAAGCATTAAGCGATGCAGTATTACACCACTCAGTGAGCGCTCAGTGAGCTCTTGCTGATTGGCATATTTCTAGGTTAGATCTAAAAATAATGACCAAACAAGAGCTCACTGAGCACTTAGGGAGCGTTTATATTGGCTGTAACCGTTTTAAAAAAATTAAAAAGAAAAAAAGAATTTATTTATCACAGTCGAGTATTCTCCTCCCATTCGACTGTAAGAAGGGAATACTCAAAGGTGATTGGCCAATTTTAGCAAGAGCTCAGTTATAGTATTGAATGCATCCAATGGCTGCGTTCAGCAGAACATTTATTTTATGTTACTGTAGAGCACTAGAAACATAAGTATTCGCGTCCATCATTTTTTTATTTCTTTTCTCATTCCTTGCTTTATTCCCATTCCATCCATGAGTTGTGATGAATTATGATTATTACAAGTTATAATTTGTATTTGCTGCTTGAAATTTTATAGCTCCTTTCATTCCATTTTTGCTCTCAAAATCAGTTGAATATTTATCGTAATATTAAGATCTGAAGAGTGTTTGGCGTTCAAATTATATCTAGATAAGGTGTCAAATATGTATGTCAATTTAAAGAAAAGGATTGAAATTTCTCATCTGCAAAGAAGTATAGTGATATTTATTCACAAGTCATGTATTTATTTTACAACAATACAGCAAGTTGTCGATGAATATTATTCGCAGAAAATTTAAATAATCGAATACCTTTTTCTGATCTGATTGATCATTGATTGACAGTTTATCGCAATAAGGCATTTTATAAATTTTTTTTCCTTAATTAATATATAATATTTCAGGTTTTTTACATCTTTTTTTTCGTCTCTTAATTTTATGATAAAATTTCAAGGTGCGGAAATATAATACATAAATACAAAGCTACAAGGTTTCCAACATCTTAGAAGCTATAACCGTAACGACCATAACCTTCTCAGCTCAGCGGCGGAATAGAGCAAGGAGTGGGGAAGGAGTAAAAATGCGAATATTCACATTTATAATGCCTTAGTTACTATTTGACGATTTTTTCGCGATGATTGGACTATACTTTTAGGGTGCGTACTTTTAGAGTACACCTTGACGGAAAAGCAGAAAGCCAATCAGAACTCGTGCTGGTAGTAAGTAGTACACAAAGCCGAAATTGTAGACTACCAGCGCGAGTTTTGATTGGCTGCTGTTTTTCCATTTTCTGTTTTTTCGTACGGTGAATGCACCCTTAGATCTTGAAGAATAGTTCTTGCAGTTGCACAATTAGGTACTTATCAATGAAACAAGTCGGAATTATTCCGTTTTTTCTATAAAATATAATAGAAATCTAAAGAATAATTGAATAATTTTGGAATTCATTTCAATTTTGTTCCATTGGTTCCCCGTTTTATTTTTTAAACGTTTTGTCGATAATTGTCGCTATTGTTAACTAACGACAATCAATGTCGTGCTTTCTTTCCGGTCCTGCCATTGGCTATCGCTATTTAACGATAGCGACAATCATCAACAAACGTTT